TGAGCAAGTTACTTTAATTTTATAAATCCCAGTTCTTCCATTTGTAAAACGGGAATAATCAAAACACCTATCATAGGATTGTTGAGAAGACTAAATAAAATAATGCATGTAAAAGAATTAGCCCAGTATCTGGCACATTGTTGTTCAATAAGTTTCACAGGTGCTCAAAATTGGTAGCTGTTATTATTATCGTTATTATATTAAACTCTAACCATCTGATTTGTAAATTAAGCAGGTATAGTCCTTTATTTTTCTTTCTTTCTCTTCCCCTCTCTTTTTAAAAAAAATAGTTTGTTTTCCAGAAAATTCCTTCTGTCTTTCTAGGAGAATAAAAGTACTTTGGTTCAAACATTCCTCCCTTAAAGGGCTTTCACACTTACTTGTGCCCTAGGAGCTAAGGAGAAGTAGCATGATTTGCTTCTAAGTATGGCAGAGCGCTTTCATTTCTACGATTTAAAAAAATCCTGTACTAGCCTTAGGTAGGTAGATCTGAGTCATAGAAGCCCAAATAGACTAAGGAAGAAATATTTTTGTAGGGTCAGGATAAGTGGATAGGAGAAGGGAAGGAGAATACAGAAGTGAAAATATAGCTGATTTTAATGTTAGCTTGGCTGTTTCTTCTCTCAATGTAATATATACTTAATTATAAAACAATTAATACCAGAACTTGCATGTATTATCTCACAGCTTCATTCAGTTTTCCTATTTCTTAGAGAAGTCGTTTTCCACTTGGAAACTGTTGATAAAGCACTGATTTTGTCTTAACATCTTTTGGGGGTGGGGCCTGGAGAACCTTTGCAGTGATTGATGGTTGTTAGTTTTGGGGAGCACTTAAATGAACAGAATAAGTAACAGAATGTAAACATGTCGTTCATGTGGACTTTAGGCTGGTGCATGTGTGGTGGAGCCTAGGTCACCGTTGTTAAAGGAAGACTCCCAGAGTAGAGCTTGGGTAGATAAACTTGTTTACTTCAAAGTGTTACTGGACCACCAGGATTTTAGGGATAGTTGTGTGAAATACTCATTTTTATTAATTTTAGGTAATTTATCCATATTTTCTTGAAGGATAAAACTATGAAAGAGGCAGATGTCCATCATGGCAGCAACTTTGTGGAATTGTGTTTTGTCAGGATATTCATCACTTTGGGGTTTTTTATTCTCACTACTCCAAAAGAAAGTTGTGATTAAAAAAAATGTTTTTGGATGGTAAGTGGAAAACACTGAGTTGGAAGTTTTTATGTGAAGTGTGCCTCGATACCATTCTCATACCTCTAAAGATACTATTCAGGAGGAGGAATAGTCATTTGTTGAGCACTGGCTATATCTGAAGCTCTGGCCTTTGTTGTTTACTGAAGTAGACCCTCAATAGCCGTTTGAGATGGGCTTTTAAGAAAATACATTATCAAGCAAGCCAAGGGCTCTGGTGTTTTACATGCATGACCTTATTTAATTCTTATAATCCTACTAGTAACCGTGTGCACAAAATTCGTGCACATTAAAAGGGAATTAATTAGAGGAGATATTCTAATATTGATATTTGCCCTTTAGAGATAATGGGAGTGTCAGAGATGAAAGAAAATTAGTAAAATGTATAT